AACAGATGCGCGGAAGCCAAAAAGGCATTTCTAAAGGTAAAAAGTTTGCACATATTAGTTTTTTTAATAGATTTTTTAATTTAATAATTTGATTTTAAAAAGAAGAAATTATTAAGTGGCGTTTCTAAAGATAAGAGCTTTTAATAATAGATATAGATTGAATGCATGGTTGGATTTTCTTGGTGACTCTCACTGTCACAAATCATAAAAGTGTGAATCCCCATTATTAATTCCAACCTTTTTTGCACTTGTATCAGAGTTCTTTTCTTTTGATCAGTTGTCCATTGGACAAGATCCCCCTCATAATGCACCTCAACCAATTGGATGTGACCAGGTGTTCATCTGTAGTGATCAGACCAAGTGCCTGACTATTAATGGTCTGCAGCAGTGAATATCATGACTCTCACTGTCACAAATCATAACGCACCAGAATCTTGAAGTATAAAGTTCACGTATCATTAATTACCAATTGGGTTTAGGCTTGGTTGATTGGTGGGGGGAAAGAGACCGATCAGGATGCTGATGGTTGCTTGCTTGTCCTTTTTAGCTCGTGGCCCCCTAAGAACAGTGAGAGGGAGACTTCTCTTTCAAATTTGATGCTGTCTTTCCACTGTAAATTCTATAGAACTAGGCCGTATGCTCTGCTGCCTTTTTTTTCTTTCTTTCTTTCTTTCTTTTTTATGGTTGGTCTCTTGCCCTTTCCTTAAACTGAGGATGAAGATAAAAGACAACTGTCACAAGCATTACTTGTTACCTTTATGGTAGGTTTTTATCATGTTTTGCTTGGCCTTACTCAATACCCATCAAAATACGGTAAAGCTTCATTTATTCATATGAATCATATCTTCTACTATCATATATCATTGTTTTGCATCTTTTTTTTTTTTTGAAGTAAAAACAGGGTGAGGTCCCCTATTCATCCATATATAAACTTGATAGAATCCGCAAACATGGAAGTCTGGGATGCCGAATGATCGAACGAAAAGATCACGAGATAGGGAGAGGACATTGTCGTCACCTAGAGGTCATAATCTATCAGGCGATCTTCAACACGCCAACAAAATAAGAACGAACACATTTTAACCAGAGTAAGACGCTGATCACTAGCATAACCCAAAACACCGTTAGCATAACATCGATAGGAAGACCCGCCAAAGGGATCTATTGAACGTACTACCCCTATAGTCTCGTTGTTGCAGACAAACCTTGTAGATTAATTTTTTTGACTATATATTAGACTCACTAATTTCACCTGTGGGCATATACTGCAAAATTCCTCCCAAGGGTTTAAAAAAAAGCCTCAGAGGTCTATCTACAACAAGAAAACCACAGGGATAGTAAGTCCAAAACAACAATACTATAGGGGGTTATATGCAATTAACCCCAAAATTTTTGTATGGTTTGAGGAATCAAAGAAGGGCTGTTGTGGCATTGGAGAGTTTGGACGTTGGCCATTGTGTAATAAAAAAACGGTTCTGTGTCCTGATGATTCAAAGTTTGTATTTTGGGATAGTTTTCATGTTACAGGGAAAGCATATGGGGTTCTAGTGGATGAGCTCCTTCAAGAAGTCATGGGGAAGTTTTCATGAATAAAACATCTTTATGTTGTATTATTTGTTGGTGAAATATTTATTCATCGTAATAGTATTATTTGTTGCTTCTCCTACTTCCAAACTTTTTTTTGATGGAAAATAGGGCCAAATGCCCTATCATTACTTGTATATTAAACCGCAGAGTATGCAAATTAAACAAAAGGAGATATCTAATGGTGATTTCAGCGGCTTCCCCCGAGATGGAGAAACTTACCAAATCACTATTAGATGTATTAGGATATGTACATGACTGTATCCAACAAAGTAGCAGATAGAAGAGAGTCACAAAATAGGCAAAATAGACAAAAGGGACAAAATACTACTGCCGAGAGATCAGAGGTTCCCATTACTATCCTCGCTGGAAAAAATAAGCTCTGATAGTCCTCTCGCGCGAATGAGGTTTTTTAGTTTGAGAGCCTTCTTGGAAGAGGAAGCACTTGTCCATAAAAGAAGATAGTAAGCTGACTTTGAGGTTATTTGTTGTGGAGTGGTGACAGATTTTGAGAAGATACGATCATTGTGAGCTTTCCAAAGAACCCAACAGATTGTCAGGAAACATAAACTCCAAAGTAGACGCGCTGAACTATCGATGGATCGATCCAAACATATGTCTAAACACTGGCTGATATGAGTAGGGAGTGAGTCGATGTTAATTCTCGGTAGGAACTGGGCCCAAATATGATTGACGAAGGTGCACGAGAGGAAGAGGTGATCATGGGATGCATGTTCACTGCAGAATGAGCAAGTTGAATCACCTACCCAGCCTTGAGAGGATAGCCTATCTTTGGTCTTCAAAATGAGCAAGTTGAATCACCTACCCAGCCTTGAGAGGATAGCCTATCTTTGGTCTTCAATCTATTCAAGATTAGGAGCCAGAGAAAGAATTTAACTTTACTAGGAAGCAAGTTGTTCCATATGATGACACTCTGCGAAGACCTCATTCAGACAGAAGGGAGTAGAGAGATTTTACTGAGTAAAGCTTAGAGTCCGACAGGGGTCATGTAGGTTTGTCATCTATGGAGGAAGGATAAGGTTGCTAGCTGCTAGTAGCTGAGTGAGGGCTTGAACTTGGTACATGTCACTATCGTGAATGGGTCTCCTTATGATAGCTCTCCATGACCAGCGATCTCCACAGAATCTCCCTTGAGATGCGATGGATACATGCTCGGAGAAAGCTAGGTTATATGCCAGAGGAAAGAGGCTAGCTAGAGAGTTATCCCCTATCCATTTATCTTCCCAAAAGTGGATCCTGAACCCCTTACCTAGTGACCATTTGATAAAACCTGAAAAATATTGGTAGCAAGATTGAACATCCTTCTAGAATTTAGAGCATTGATTGAGGGGAGGGAGGTTATAAAGGTTGGTTGGATATATGGACTGAAGTACTCTGCCTACGTGATTGTTACTATCAATGAATTTCTAAAGCCATTTGGAGAGAAGAGAGATGTTGAAGAGATGGAGGTTGGAAACACCTAGCCCTCCACAAACTTTAGGGGAGCAAACTGTATCCCATTTAACCGAGTGCTTACCTCTGGAGTTGACAGCAGTCCCTCCCCATAGGAAATTGTGTCTAATTTTGTCAATGTCCTTGATAAGCCAGGTAGGGAGTTTGAAGGACATGTAATATAGAGGTATGGATGATAATACTGATTTGAGAAGGACCAAGCGGCCACCAAAGGAGAGTTGTTTGATTTTCTAAAGGGAAAGTTTGCGATGAAAAGAGTACAGCAATGGTTGCCGATACATCTGATTTGAGAAGGACCAAGCGGCCACCAAAATTTGTTCCATGGATCAATGTACTACAGTTATTATGTTTTAATTTTTATAATAGTAGGGGCTAAGGAGCAGTTTCCCCTAAATATCTTAGTATTAAGGAACAAGACAAGGAACACATGTAGCATATAAGAGTAAAAGAAGAGAGATACAGAAAATCAAAGTTAAGCTATGCTATTATTAATAGCATCAAACATGGGAATACTATTAACTCAATTTTAAAATTCGGGCTTATAATTGAAAATCAGAATTAATGTACGTGATCTACAACACATGAAATACTTAGAAACAAAATTTCAAAAGATTTCGACATGTTTGAATCAAATATCAATGGACGAAAATTAGCAACTTCATATAATTTTTGAAACATTACTTCATATGATGTACATAGGTTAATTAATTGCGTTGTTTTTTTTTTTTTGAAATTTTCAAAATTAATTAAAGGTGGCTGATGGTATTCTTATACCGGCTACTATTAATAGAAGCATAGCTTAACACCAAAAATTTATGCATAGTACTAGGAAAAATATGTAACATTCCTAGAACCAATACCTCTTGACAAAACTATTTCTAAACCCATTAAAAACAATAATTGATAAAAGCCTTTCTCAGTATCGTAACACAAAATTCGGGATTAGGTTTATTGGCTACTCAATGCTCATACATTTACATTCTTAGTTTGGAAATCCTTCTTGTGGACCTGGCTTTCTGTTTGCGGAATATGAGCCACTTAAAATTCTCATCAGGAATACCAACCCCTTCTCATCTCCCCTCATCTCAAAAGAGACCTCTTCATATGGAGATGGTCTATCAGATTAGAACTGGTCAAAGTCACTATTTTGATTAATCGAGCATTCTTCATTTTGGAAAATGTTGGATTTTTTGCTTCTTTTTTTGGGCAGATTTTGATCACTCTGCAATTGTGTTTTTGTGGGGGGGTGGTTTTGTAAATCTTGCACAGCTTGGGAGCTCTTAAGCTCTCAATGTCCATGTCAGCCTAAGGAGATGGCTTGGGAGCTCCTTGGGAGCTTGCTGGAGGGCTTGCAAACTCTCCCACCGCCACATAGGCCTTGAGAGGGGGTGCAAGGAGCTTGCTGCCCTTGCTCTTATAAGAAGAGTAGTTATCACCAAGGAATTGGATGACTACAAATTTGCACCATGAGTGTGAGGAGATGGATAACAGTGTATAGGAAGAGAGTTTTAATTTATGACTATACCCTATAAATTGAAACCCTAAGCTATAAATATGTACTTCAACCGCTATTATTTATGTATCCAGAAAAAGAAGAGAAATGATCGTGGTTTTAATCCTTCGTTAATTATTGATGGAACTATAGTCTGATTGTACTCCAAAAGAAGAAAATTTTAAAATAGACCCAATCCCAAATTTATTCCAAAAATCGACTCTATCCAATTTTATTCACAGAATTCGATCCAGTTTCGGCCACATCAGCATCGTGGTAAAAAACTGGGTCGTTACAAAATAAACGATCTCCTAATTAGTTGTGCGATTGCCAACCCAGAATAATTAGGAGCACTTCTAATTGTTGGCGGGATTAACAACCTGACTTTGGGGGGGTTGTGGCCAAACTAGTCGGGGTTGTGAATCCCGACCAATTGGCAAAGCACCACCAGATGGGTTCATTCTACCGACAACAACGGAGCGAGCATCCGAAACAATTGAGGGACATATTCAAGCGTTTTGACGAGGATTCAGATGGTAGCCTCACCCATTTGGAGCCGGCGGCCCTCCGTCGTTCTCTTGGTCTGGAGCCAGGCTGGTACCAGATCCACGCCCTCCTCACCAACATGGATTCTAACTGCAATGGTTCCACTGAATTCGAGGAGCTCGTCGAGGCAATAGCCCCTCTGATGAGCGAGCTGGCCTTTGCCAATCAGCAGCACCTCCTGGACGTCTTCAGATCTTTCGACCGCGATGGTATGGCTAGATCAACTTCGCCGTTGAGTTCGCTCGTTCCATGACCCCCCCCCCCCCCCCTCCCTCAACTTCTGCGAAACTAAGGAGAGATGGTACGTGTTGCTGATACTGACGGCGACGACGTCATCAACTTCAATGAGTTTGCTGTGATCATGGCCAAGTTTTCATGTCTTAGCCAAGTTTTCGATTCGACCGTTTCCATGCAAACTCTATCAAATGGTCAGGGTTGCCAATCCTGACAGTTTTGGTTGGGGTTGGCGACCCCGACTAGTTTGGCGTTAAACACTATTATCCCCTTGCATATTAATGCCCACTGCAACTAATTACTCATCTAATTAGTTAAGGTTGGAAACCCCGATTAATTAGGAGTTCGTTTTTTTTAAAACGACCCAATTTCTGATCACGATGCTGATGCAGCCAAAATTGGGTCGATTTCTGAAGGAAAAAAACTGCATATGGTCAAATTTTGAGAATAAATATGGGATTTTGGGTTTATTTTAAAATTCTCTTCACTCCAAAATTAACTCATATAATCATATTAATTACCAAACCTTGTATAAAATCCGCTTTTGTTATCTGTTTTATTATTCTTTCTATCTCACATATATGTGATTAAATTTTCTGCTCTGACAAAGATGAAAATGTGCATTCCCATAATTCTAAACTTTTGCAATTTGGTACCCGAGTTCTCTTCTTTTGATCAGTCGTCCATTGGACAAGATCCCTCTCACAGTACCCTCGTTTGGTGAAAGTTAATGTAGATGCATCCTCTCATGTTGATTGCTCCACTATTGAGATTATTGTTCGAGATCATTTTGGCCACCACATCTTCTCATGCCGCATTGTCTTAACCTTGTGCTCATGTTGCACAGGGTTATTGCTTACCCACCGCATCTCCCGTCAATCTTCGGTGAATGCTGGGTGACCTTTAAGGGCCTATGCTCTTCTTATGTTATAATATTTGTGCACATAAATTAGCTCAATTCGCTTGCAGATATAAATGTAACTCTTTCTCTGATGTCCGGTCCAGATCATATCCGTAATCAGATTCTTCTTGAGGACAAATTTTCAAAACCATCCACTTTTGAAATTTATTTATAAAAGACGACCCATTTCAACCTTAATTTCAAAAACCGACCCAGTTGGTTGAAACTGGGTCGGTTTTTGAAGAAAAAAAATTCCAAACTTCACGGGAGTTGAACTCCCGTGAAGTTTTGTTTCAACTCCCGTGAAGTTTTGTTATGAGAAAAAACTTCACGGGAGTTCAACTCCCGTAAAGTTTGGAATTTTTTCTTTAAAAACAGACCCAGTTTCATCCAACTAGGTCTGTTTTTAAAATTAAGGTTGAAAGAGGTCTTTTTTGGGGAATAAATTTCAAAACCGGATGGTTTTAAAAATTTGTCGTTCTTCTTGATGTTATGAAATAGAATATGTTTGATTCTTATTATTTAAATATTAAAAAAAAACTAGTGGATGTGATCAACTGTCCAGTGTCCATCTGCCTTGAGACCGAGTGTCCGAGTACTATTACTGGTCTTCAGCAGTAAATATCATAACTCTCATTGTCAAAAATCATAATGCGCCAAATTCTTAAAGCAGAAAGTTCAAATATCATTAATAACCAATAGGTTGGGTTAGCTGGTTGGTGAGATAAAGAGATTTATCAAGACGCAAGTGGATCAATTAATGAAGTATTGTGCTATAATTGTTGCTTGTCCTTTTAAAAACAATAGGAAGAGCTTTGCTACAGGGACCCAAAATATGGGACCAATAAAAGGGACAAGTGAGGTGTCCCCCTCCTATTGAATAATGAGTTTGCCATCATTAATGATGACCAATTCATTATCCAATAGGAGGGGGACACATCACTTGTCCTCCCTATTGGTCCCATATTTTGGGTCCTTTAAGAATTTTTCTTCTTACAATTTATACAAGACCATAGATGTCAAGGGTTTTTTTTTTTTTAATCTACCCTGCGAAAATAGTATAAAGCCCACACTTCAGTCAGCATTGTTTGTCATGAAACTTAATCAAAAATCTACTATTTACATGCAATATGAGCATTTAAATGATCTTCATCCTCAATTCAAGGAGAGGGCAAGAGACAGAAGAAAAGCACCGTCTACTTCTATAGAGTTACAGAGGAAGTCTTTCCTATTGGAAAAATTCTTAAAGGACCCAAAATATGGGACCAATAGGGGGGACAAGTGAGGTGTCCCCCTCCTATTGGATAATGAATTGGTCATCATTAATGATGGCAAACTCATTATTCAATAGGAGGGGGACACCTCACTTGTCCCTTTTATTGGTCCCATATTTTGGGTCCCTGTAGCAAAGCTCTTGTAAGAAATTCTTAGTACTTCATTTTCTACTACACATTGACGTGTTACAAGTTGTTCAATATTGTTGTATTAGTGCAAGTAATTAAGAGGACTTTGGGTAGAGCTCTGATTCAAATATCTCTTAATGCACAATTTACACAATTGAACCAGAATCCTGAGCATGCTTGGCAGCTTTGGGTTGTAACCTACTTGGCTTATAATTAATCTGTAAACATAACTTCATAAGTAAATCAAGTTTATTTTGATTTAATCATCATAATACCAAGATCTTAGAACATATGATTTTCACTATGAACATTCATTAAGAAAAACGTACCTTGATCCATGATTTGAAACTTGAAGAAACTTGAACAATCTTAAAGACTTGAGTTTCTCTCTCCTAGCCCTCTTATGCCATTCCGAAAATTTCTTGATGGAGAGAAATTATTCACATTAACTGGTAGAGAGAGGACCAAGCTTTTTAAATAGAATAACCACTCACAATCCATCAATGTGGGTAGTTATTTTGACCAATAGGAATTTAGCATAAGTAATTAGTTATAAAACTAATCATAAATCATGACCACTAATCTAAAACGTGGGCCACTACTATAAAGAAAACTAACAAAAGAAGTATGATGCTTTTTGTTATTATCAGGTTTTATGCATGTGCAAGACACATGGTCAAATATCATGATTAAGTATATTTGGTTTATTTCTTTACTAAAACTTGTTTCTCGGTTTCACTTTGATGGTTTTTGTTTACTCATATATCTAAACTTTAGGATTGTGATTATTTATTTTCTTTAACATTCGTTTAAATGAACTACACCCAATTTAAATTTTTATATTGATAATTGAATTGACAGGAAGTAAATGTAATCCGAAATCAATTTGAATTATCATGTCATTGAGACCGACATGAAACCAAACTTGACTTGAGAAAATATAGCATTGTAAAAGTGAGAACCACTTTAAAAATAGCATTCTAAAAGAAAAATGAATAATTAAAGCTCATAAGACAAGACGATTGGTTAAAAGTGACACAAAAGATAACAAGTTTGACATGGGAAAACATAACACTGTAAAAGTGAAAAACACTTAAAAAAAGCATTCTAAAAGGTATAATGAGAATAACTAAAGCTCATAAGACAAAATGATTGGTTAAAAGTGGGCTAAAGTGACACAAAAGATAATATGGAGTTTGTTCCTAATCCTTGATAGACTTTAAAAAATTATAAAATAAAGATGAATACTAAATCTAGTATACTTTTATATAATGAAAACATCCACATAAGCATATATAAGTACTAAAAAAGGTTTACCAAAACCCCTTCCAATTTTTCCTAATTTACTCCAAAAAAACCTATTCTATAAAATATTCAGAAAATAGTGTCTTTCATTCCTTCTGTTTTATTTTTTATTGAGACATTATCAATCCTTCTCCACCTTTATCTTTTTTGATAAAATTAGACTACTTTTAGATGCCGAAAAAGCATAGTAAGACCTTAAAATAAAAGTTAAATTTGCATATCTTAATGAAAAAATATCACAACTATTTTTTTGCTATATTTTGAAAATTTAGTCGCTTTTGGTGATTTTGAATTTTAAGAGTGTGTTTTGTAAATTTTAAAACTTTGAGAGTGTTTTTTAAAAAATTTAAATTTTAAGTTGGGTGCTTGTAATTTTTATATTTTATGTGCTGGTAGTAAGTTTTTGAATGTCAGAATATTTCTTGCAACTCTAAATTTTGAGGATATTTTTATAATTATTAAAACTTTAGATTGTTTGTTGTAAAATTTAAATTTTTAGCGGTCTGTTGATAATTTTGAAATTTTATATGTATTGGTTATAAGTTATTAAATTTTAGGGTTTTCAGTGTTTTTTAATTTTCGAAGGAGTTTTTCAAATTTTTTATAACTTTGAGGCTAGTTTTTACAAATTTTTAGTTTTTTAGTGTCTGATAGTAATTCCTTGAATTCATCTTTGTTGTTCACAAGTTTTAAAATTTTAGAATTTCAAAGTGTTTTTTTATTATTTAAACTTTTTTGGGTGTTTTTATAGTTTTTAAAACATTGAGGTTTCATTTTTGTTGTTTTAAGTTTTAAAACATCTGGATGTTTTGTGTAATTTTATACTTTTAAGGGTGTTTTGTATAATTTTTGAAACCTTTTGGGTTTTTTGCAATCTTCATATGTTATAGCTTATTAATTTTAAAATTATTGTCCTGTAAGTAGTTCACATGAGATTAGGATATGATATAATTATGATTATAATAAATTAAAATTTAAATAAAATATTCAAATAGTCAAGGATAATATTGACCATGAAAAGATTTTTCCGAACTCGTACTTTTAAAGGGAGTACTAATTGAGATGCACGTGTAATGCACATGGTAATATCATGATTACTTAAATTGATAAAAATAGAAAAAAAGACAATAAAGTTTTTTATGAGAATGATCGTCAACTCAATAATCTCTCTCTCAAATAAAATATTGTTATTATTTCCTTTAATTCAGACTGTGGTCACGTGATATATTATTTGTGAGTTATAAATATATTAATTTAGTACAACATCTCTGTTTATTAGTATCGTAAAGTCTTCAAAAGATGAGTGATCATTAAATTCGTAAAGGAATTTTGCATATGAATTTACTTGCAATATGTCCATTAAACTTTTAGTTGTGGTTTAACTTATATTCACATTAACTTGTAGTTGTG